TAATTCAATTTCACCATATATAAATGAGATTGCTACAATTTTTATATATATTACTAACTTTGATAATGAATATAAATCTGCATCTGCATCCTAACTCAAGCTACTATCAAATGTGTATTTCTAAGAGACAAAATTTTTTTTTGATTATTAATATTATCAGGCAACACAAACCTGTTTCTTGATTTGAAACAATATTACTTATTAGAACATGCAGAACGTTCTAATAAGTAATATAAGGAATATTGGGACTTCCCATCATTGGGAAGTCGTGGCCTAATGGTTAGAGAGTCGGACTCGTAACCCAAAGGTCCGGCAGGAATTGTAGGTGGGGGGAGTGAATGTACAGCGCTCTCTTCCACCTTCAATGCCATGACTGAGGTGCCCTTGAGCAAGGCACCGAACCCCCAACTGCTCCCCGGGCGCCTCAGCATAAATGGCTGCCCACTGTTCCGGGTGTGTGTACACGGTGTGTGTGTGTGTGTGTGTTCACTGCTGTGTGTGTGCACTTTGGATGGGATAAATGCAGAGCACTAATTCCAAGTATGGGTCACCATACTTGGCCACATGTCACTTCACTCACTCACTTTATATATATTATGTGATTCCATAGCTGGATTTCTCTAATGAATGACCTGTTGACATTCGTGTGCCTCACACCAGTCTGTCTGCTGTCAAAGACTTCGTCAAGAAAAACAACGTCCCTTTCACTGTCATGATCAACAATGTGCAGGTGAGTTAAATACAAAAATCTATATACAAAATAACATTATTAGCCTTTGCAAATCTGTGTGATGGAGCTGTATCGTAAATGGTAGCAGCCTGTAACAATCTGGGCTTCCAGTGGACTTCTTGCACTGACCTCAGAGATGCCAAGCACCATTTCCCTCAATCAATGGGATCAATGATATGCTATTATAGTTTTTGTTTATATATTTCGGATTATATTGTATTTTTATATTCTCTGTTTTCATTTTAATTTTTGCCAAGGTTTTAGTATTTTTGTTTGTGTATGGGTAACCATACTTGGCCACATGTCATGTCACTTTCACTTTTGCAACTAAGAAATTAATTTTTTCCTATTAAGATATTTATTTTGTTAAGGAAAAATTACTGGAAACCATAAAGAATAGTTTAAAACCACAATTAACCGTCTGGTTTTAGTTACAAAGACTAAAGTCTCAAATCCAAAGAGATATTCTTTATAAAAGTTAAGAGTCAACCACACCTACCTAAAACGGCTAGTTCTAACACGATGTGGGAAGATTTGCATAACGCCACCCAAATGTTCACGCAAAGAAAGAAAGCGTAACTTTTATTCTCGCTGTAGTATTGTTGCCGCCGCCGCCATGCTGTGGAGACACTGTGTTTCGCTGTGAAAGCCTTCCAAAAGAGGACGATATTCGCTTCGTCATGCCTGGAGCTGATCTGTGCTGGTCGCTGAGGAAATACATCAACTTCGCGCTGTGGATCGCCGGATCGGCTTTCACGGTGGACGAAGCGGAGTCCAGCCCGGGGTCGTCACATGTGGTCGTCACATGTGGTCGTCACATGTGGTTGCCTCAAGCCCACCGGCCTCCGCTTACTCTAGCCCACCTTGTGTGATGCTGTGTTTCGTTGTGAAAGCGAAACTACTTTGTTTGGCCTTCCAAAAGAGGACATGACTAGAAATCAGTGGTTAAGTTGTATTTACAACACTGTTCCAGAACAGTTCAACCCAAATATTCTGATGTGTGCAGCACATTTTATGGAGGACTGTTTCCTGATCCTGGTAGAGTAGACTACAATGCCGGCTGTTCTGACTCACAGACTGTGAGTACGTTTTTTATATTTAAAGAATTTGCCACTGACGAATCAAACGCGAGTTTTGGGCAGTGTAGAGTAGGGTTTGTTATATATGTAATTTCTCAGATCACAAATGCAGACATGGTTTTATGTTTACGCGGCACAATGCAACGCAACACGTACAAAAAAACAGTATAAGTCATTATAATTAGCAATTATGTCCCCACTGGATGCAACAAATGCCTCGTTTATAACGGGTTTTAATGTTTTTGTCTCGTCGCTCCGGCCGGACAGGGCATCACAGTATGGTAAGGGGCGTCACATGCTTGAGGTATTCAGCCAATCACAACACACTGGATAGCTGGCCAATCATAGCACACCTCGCTTTTCAGAACGATGAGCTTTATAAAAATCGACGCGTTTCAGAAAGGCGGGGCATAGAGGAGCAACAATAATGTAGAGTATGTGGAAAATAATAAATGTGTTTTTTGAACCTTAAACTGCATAAACACATTTCATTACACCAAATACACAAAATAATGTTCTTTTTAGCAACATCATATTACCCCTTTAAACTTGAAAGAAATAAAATTTGACATTTATCGTGATAATTATCGATATCGACTGATATGGAAAAAAGTGATTGTGATTATTTTTTGGCCATATCGCCCAGCCCTAATTTGAAGTTAAACTGTGCAAAAATTTTATGTTGCAACTTGCTGAAATAAAATACGCTTTTAATAAGTTTAAAATAAGTTTTTTTATATATATTTTATTATATTTCAACTAATGTTTATTTCAAGTAAATAAGTTTTTTAGTGTTAGTATTTTTTATTTATTTTTTAGTATTAGTTAACAATAACAACCTTGCTGTTCCCCGTGGGGTCACACTAAACTTTCATTCATGATAACGTAGTGTATTTTTTATATATTTTATTGAGTTCATATTATATTTTCATGCATTTATTTGCATATAATTATGCAATAGGATGTCATATGCCCATTTCCAATATAGAATTAAAAATTTCTTTATTTAATAAATAAATGCAAGATCTCTCTCTCTCTGTCTTTCTCTGTCTCTCTCCCTCACTCATTCATATTCATAATTTCTCATGCTCAGAGTCTAGCGTAACTGCACCTTTACTCTGGTCACCCCAAAAATACCTGAAATGCTTCCCCTTTCTTGCGCTCTTCATTCTGGGCACATTTGGCTCATATACTTTTAATATTTTGATACTTTAATATTAAGTTGTGGTATTGTAAAATGTCATCATTCACACCATTATTTCCATTTGTGAGGTAGACCAAGTTCTCTCTTATCCTCCACACCGCTAAACCCCAGGCATGTCTTGGCCTTGCGACTTTAATATTGCTGTCTCAATATCATGCATTTCAGCACTCGAGAAGCAAAAGCTATTTTTTGCCATTTCATGAATCCGAATCACATGTACACCTTCAGCTTCCTGACAACCCATCTTGCCTCCATCACGCTCTAACATGCAGTACACTCTTGATGCGAGGAGGAGAGCCAAATGCGTGCTCAAGAGGCTGAAACAGTCTTGTGAAAGGATTTACAGTAATTGCAAACTGACAGAAAGTGCACAGGCTCCCATAATTCTCCCTGCATTCTGAATCTCTGGTGTGTTCATATTGCGACCATGCATCTTTAGGCTTTTAGCTCAATTAGATTATCCATTTGATCCAGTCTCACATAGATGACTGATTCTAAACAAGCCGGTTACTCCAAGGAATGTCTGTAATCTGAGAAACTTGAGGATTTAGTTTGTTTTTCGTGTTTGTAGAACAATGTTAAGGTTAAAAGGTTTATCAGCTCAGCTGTTGCAGATGCATGTTTTTTTCAGAACTTCCATTGGATGTCATCAGGCCGCAGACCTTCACCTGCAGTGATGAAATGCTTTGCCTGTTTTGCAGGGAGAGTTAAAATGGAAAACGGAGCTGAAAAAAAAAGTGCTTCCTTACATGCATCCAAATCTCTGTCAGCTGCCAATGTCACCTCCTCCTCAAATGCAACATTTTCTGTAAAAACATTTTCTCAGTTTTTTGTGTGCGAGGCATTGCTATTACTATTGCTCATATTTTGGAGTCTGTTCTAGAATGTAAGATTTTCTCCATGTTGCACGGGCATTTTATGTCTTTATTCTTTTGGAAAAACAAAGATCTGTTAGGAGACACAAAGAACTAGATGAGGGAGAATTTTGAATAGAGGAAAACGATACAATTTGATTGCAGATTAAAAGTAGTAGATACATTTAATATTGTGATTTTGCTCTAGTATTTATCTTGTTAGGCTGATAACTTTCTTATCAGAAGAAAGATGATGAAATAGTAAGATTGTGAAATAATATTCTAATTTAAAATGCTTTTGTATTTTATTATATTTTAAAATGTAATTTATTCCTGCGATGGCAGAGTTGAATTTTCAGCATCATTACTCTGGTCTTCAGTGGCACATGATCCTTTAGAAATCATTTTAATATAATGCTTTGTTGCTCAAGAAACATCTTAACAATTTTAAAATGATTGTGCAGCTTTATAATTTTTGTGGAAGTATATTTTTCAAAATTATTTAATAAATAGAAAGTTAAAAAAACAGCATTTATTTGAAATGGAAGTCTTTTGCACTATAAACTTAATGTATTTACTGTCACTTTTGATCAGTTTAAGGTGAAAAAAAGTGTTCATTTCTTAAAAAATTTACCTTACTGGCCCCAACATTTTGAACAGTATTGAACGTATTTCTTAAGTAGCTAAATTACAGTCAGTCTGTTGTTATCACAAAAATAAAAATATATTGTCCTCATAGAAAAGAATAAAAAAAATAAATAAAGATATAGTGTTTGTCATATTGCAGGTACTTTATGATCTGGAGACAGTTCTGACCCAGAAACTTACTGAATGTCCCATATTTCCCAGAAACACTTATGTTTCACCTTGATTTTAAGTCTGAATCTTGGTTCTGTTGCAGTGCAATAACGCTACAAAGTATCCACAGATCATGCTTAAATAGAGGGATGTTAATGTGTGTGATCAACGTGAATGGCTCTTACAGCATCCTGATGGGTGCAGGGAAGATGGATCTGTCTGTGGTTTAGTCCAGTTCATGAGTTAAGTGCACAGATGGTCCTGACAGCTCGCAGACAGGAGCCTTTCATTATGTTTGATCAGTGTCTCTTTCTCGGTTTCTCTCTCACATGCAGGAAAGACCAGAATCTCCTGTCTCCGGTGAACTGCTGGTACCTGTTGCTGAACCAGGTTCGACGGGAGAGCAAAGACCATGCGACACTGAGTGACATTTATCTGAACAACGTCATCATGCGCTTCATGCAGATTAGTGAAGACTCCACGCGTCTTGTCAAAAAGGTCAGAACTGTTTTCGATAACATTTCCAAGATGTGCTGTCTCTAAATGTCCTGTCAGAAGAGTCTCAAAATAAATTTTTAACTCCTGAAACCAAGTTGATTTGTATTTACAACCCTCTACGCACACCTTGGCAATATAATCGCCATTGGCTAGTAAATTTTTTTTTTTTCTCGCCAGACTGATATACACTTTTACACACACACACACACACACACACACACACACACACACACACACACACACGTTTACTTGGCTATCTAAATGGGGACATTACATAGACTTCGATTGTTTTTATATACAGATAGTTATACACTTTTTAACCTAAACGTACCCCTACCCCTAACCCTAGCCCTCACAGAAAACTTTCTGCATTTTTTACAATTTCAAAAGTTATTTTTTATAACAGTTTTACAAATGAGGACATCCACAAATTGAGGTTTTTGCCGATTTTGTCAGGTTTTGCTCACTTTTGGGTACAAATTTGTCCCCAAAATATGGTTAAGTAGGTACACACACACACATGATTCCACCCAATCAGCTTATCTTTGTAAAATGGAACAGCTTCTTAAATAACTGAATGTGCACTCTTAACTTCAGCCAATCAAGCATTATATTATGATATTATGATAATTAAGCACTACTTAATGATAGAACTAGTGATTAGAACTAAAACTTGGTAACCATGAATGAATGCACATTTGTCATTTTAACTGAAATTGGGTGTAACGGGGCTGACGAGACGTGAGACGTGCGGATCCATGTGCAAGCTTTATTTAAAGCAGAAGAGGTCAGAAACACAGGCAGGGTCGAACAATGGCAAACAGGTATATGGCGGGCAAGATACAAGAATAATCCTAGGGCTAGCGAAGGTCAACGATCCGCGAACAGAATCAAAAGGGCGAGACTAGAGGGATAAATCCAGGAACACAGGCAAAGGTCCAGGCATGGGCAAACAGAGTCCAAACGGCAAAACGACAGGGCAATCCAAAAACAAAGGCAGCAATATAAACACGGGAAAACAGGCAAGGCAAGACTAGACTAAACTAAGAACTAAAATAAACAGGCTCCGTATAGCAGCTAACACTAGGAGAGTGGAAAACGCAGAACAATACTAGAGACCAAACAGGACATAAACATGGAATGGCTTGGTAAAGTAGCTAACACTTGGAGAGTGAAAAACGCTAGACAATACTCGGCAGTGAGAGAGAGGAAGTCCATGGCTTATGTAGCATGTCTGATTGGATTCAGCTGTGTGTGTGTGTGTGATCAGTGCATTCAGCTGTGTGCGTGTAATCAGTGCAATGGTTGATGGGAAATGCAGTCCAGGGTGATGTGTAACAGTCTGTGTAGTGTGAGAGTCAATGTAATGGGAGAATAACCTCTAGTGGCAATCGGCCTGAAGCCCACGGACTGGATTCGTGACATTAGGACTGGTGGTGGTGTTTAAGATATTGTTGGTAATAGTAATTATTATTAAAAGATACTACTACTACTATTATTATCTGCTGGGTTCATGAATATTAATCACGTTGTCAGCGTTCGCTCGAACTGATTTGCTGAAATCAAAACAGGGACGGTAATAGATGAGCACCAGCCAACGAGAGCGGATCGCGCATTAGCTCCGCCCACTGCCGAGAAACCGGCATATCTTCTGCTTGTTCTTAAAAGCTGAATAATTCTAAATGAACTCTGTTATTTTGACAGGAAAATACAACAAAGAATATGGTTTACATGTAGCGCGTGGATTCAGCGTGGTATGCAAGACTCTCGCTCTCTCTCTTTGCATGTGTGAGAAACACAGCGCTATCAGTAAAGCATCCGAATAGTACAGATTGCTTGACAGAGAGCGAAACTCTCAAGTGCTCAGTCAGCGTGTTTATCGAGTGAAAATCTGTGTTGAACGCCTCTCACACACATACTGGCGTGTAAAATCTAAGAATTTATTAACCAATGGCTAATGTTAGACATTATTTAGTCACCCAGAGTAAGATTTAGTCGCATATGCGAGTGATTTACTCGCAATGTAGAGGGTTGATTTATAATAAAAAAATGTATATTGCATTGCACGTAAAATGGGCATTTAAGGAAAATTCATTGCAAATTCTAAATTGGCAGACATAATCTCTTGTAAAAATAAAAATTTATAATCTAGCAGAAGATATACTATACTGTTCAAAAGTTTGGGGTCAGTATTAATTTTTTTATTCAGAAAGGGAACATTAAACTGATCTAAAGTGACAGTAATGTCATTTATAATGTTGGAAAAAATGCTTTTGTTTTAACCTTTCTATTTATCACAGAATTTTTTGGGTGGAAAGTAGCACAGTTTCCACAAAAATGTTTTCAGAATTGCTAAGTAATGTTTCTGCTATCACAGGAATAAATTACATTTTAAAATATATTAAAATAGAAAAATTATTTTAAATGGTAATAATTATGTTATTACCATTTTACTGTATTTTTGAGCAAATAAATGCAGCCTTGGTGAGCATAAGAGACTTCTTTCAAAAACAAAACAATCTTACCGACCACAAACTTTTGAGCATTAGTGTAGATGAATGATTATACTTTGTGAAACACAACTGATTTTCACGAAATTGGGGTTTAAAAAAACCCTCTGCTTTAAAGGAATGTTCATGGGTCTAAAACAAGCTAAAATGGCATTTGACAAACTTTTCAATTGTCATTCAATTTTTATTTAGTTTTTTTTTGTTTATATCCATTGTAGTTGCATTATAGTACTTTTTTACACACACACACACACACACACACACACACACACACACACACACACACACACACACACACACAAAAGACAGGTCAGCATTATTTTCTGTGGTGATCAACATTTTGCCATAAGTGCAGGTGATTAAATTGTACTAAACTTGAAGTATCCTTTAAGATTCACATGATATAAAATGCCCTGCCATTCTGAAGAATAACAACCCGGCATTAATCAAGAAGACACTTCGCTTTTACGTCATAAGATGTGCAGTTATTTTTATCTGTGTAATGGCAAAAAAGCTCTTTGTTGAGCTAGATATCCACTTCCTTTTTTCCCCTCTGTCTTGCATTGTTTCACTGTCATTCCTCTTTCCTTTTTTAGTTATTCTTCTATTCTGAAAGCTATTTTTATTCCTTTGCATTTTATATTACTTTCATGCAGTTCCTGTTATATTTCTGGATGGTGGACTCTAAAAACAACTTAACAGCAAATGTAAGCTGTTCTTAAAGCAATTGTTCACCCAACAATGGAAATTCTGTCTTCGTTTACTCACCCTCCTGTCGTTCCAAATTTGTATGACTTACTATCTTCTGTGGAACACAAAAGAAGATATTTATAAAAACGGACATTATATTGTCCATATAATGAATGACAGTGGGGTCAAAAGTTGTTTTGGTCTCCACTGGTCATCACTTTATGGACACAAAAACAGTTTTTTTTTCATGATATCTTCCAAAGAAGAAACAAAGTCATACATTTAGAACGACATGTGATGATTAAATGACAGAATATCCATTTTTGGGTGAACTATCCCTTTGAATAAGTGAAATACTACATCTCAGACTTCTGTGCTGCAATATAGGAGTGTATAAACCATTTTGTGAACATTTGGGTATATAGTTCTTCAAATGCAACCTCTGTGTTGCTGTATAAAGAGGACTTAAGAGACTTTTAAAGTGTACCTGTGTGCAATTAGGTCTGGCCTAACCAATATGGAGCATGTGAAGTTTTGTGTGGTTCAGGGTTGTTTGTGTGCCTGTATTCACTCGTCAGATTTATGATGTGGGTCCGGCCATGCGGAACCTCTGCTTCAGGGCTGTGGTTCTGTTCTGAGAAGTTCCTAAAGCCCGAGCTCTAATCATGGCCTCCTGCCTGTTGTTTGATGTCTGCGGCCCCGTGACCGAGACGACGTGGCGGTCCCTTCAACGCAGGCCACAGAAGGGGGACAACTCCCAAACAGATTATGTGCTGCCATGCATGCGAGTCATATGAGACTACCACAACAGCAAATTACAAGGCTGGAATGTAGGAGGTAAAAGTTTGGTCTCAAACAAGGGTTATTCAAAGGGCTTGACCAGCAGCTCTGACCGGCTGTGAGATGGTTAAAGGGATAGTGAAAGGGAAAAATGACTGTTCTGTCATTATTTACTCACCATGTTGTTCATAATCAGCATGAGTTTCTTTCTTCCATAGAACACAACTCTTTTTAAATATAACAAAAGTTTTTAGAACTGAATCTCAGAAAAGTTCAAAAAGCACCATAAATATATCATAAAAATGGTGTAAATGACTCATGCTCTTCATCAGTGGTTCTCAACCTCTTGGATTCTCAAGGCCCCCCATTTTCCACAACAATGTTCAAATACCCCATAATGAAGGATCATTTTGTACTTTTTTAATTACTTCTCATAACTTGGCTTAACTAGAAAAATGTGTATTCATTATAAAAATGCTCATGCCAAATGCCAGTTTTAGAATTTTATTAATTGACAGGACTTTTCTAGGTCTAGAAATCCACACCCTCTCTATTTTTCACAACAATGTTCAAATAATATTCAAAACCTTCCTTACTATTCCACTTATACGTGATTTACTGGTTAATGATTAAGGATAATTATGAATAGAGTGTGTGTGTGTATATATATATATATATATATATACACACACACAATAGGGCTGGGTAAAAAATATTGATAACTCAATATTAATCGATTCTCATTTTTACGTAACGATATCGAATTCTTAGATCCCAAGAATCGATTAGTCTATCCTGTTTTCAGTTATTGGACGGAACGTTGAAGGGCACTTCCCATCCAATAAATCGCAATAAGCATTGTGCGTTGGTACTTTTAATATGAAACAAAGTCTCAGATTTCAAATTCTGTCCATCCATTGTACTGCTGTCACACCCCTGTGGACTGTCGATTGTGGTTTCTCCCTCTGTGTCCTTATTTAATTGTTCCTGTTCTCATTATTAGTTAATCACCTCATTGTG